GAGGAAGAGGAGGAGGAGGAGGAGGAGGAGGAGGAGGAGGCAGCAGAAGGCGAGAAAGAAGGCTTGGAGGAGGGGCTTCTCCAGATGAAGCTGCCTGAGTCTGTGAAGTTGCAGGTGGGCTGGCTCTTCTCACTTTCCAGCCTCTGGCCATCTGGGGGGAAGGCACAGTGGAAGGCTCCAGTCTGGGGATCTGGGCCGGTGCAGAGAGCAGTGGAGTGCTGCTGGCCTGGAATGATCTGGCTGGGTTAAGTGGGAAATGAATTGGAGCAGTGAGATCATGGAGAAGTCTGGCTTAAGGATCCAGGCAGATGATGGTGGCTGAGCCAAGTCAGAGCCACTGAGAGGGGACTGAAAGCAAGAAAAGCTTCAAGGAAGCGCTGATGGCCTTGCTGGCATCCCTCCTACTGCGTGGCTGTTCCCCACAGATGTGCCACCTGCTGGAGTATTTCTGTGACCAAGAGCTGCAGCACCGGGTGGAGTCCCTGGCGGCCTTTGCAGAGCGCTATGTGGACAAGCTCCAGTCCAACCAGCGGGACCGTTACGGCCTCCTCATGAAAGCCTTCACCATGTCTGCAGCTGAGACTGCCCGGCGTACCCGCGAGTTCCGCTCCCCACCCCAGGAGCAGGTCCTCTGACCCCTGACCCTGGTTGGCCTTACTGTCTAAGCCCCAACCTCAACCTCTCTCTACTCTGATCATGAATGGTACTCGACCTCTAAACCCGTACTTGATCTCTGACCTTAATGATATACTTATCTCTTACTTTCCTACCGATCTCTGAATTAACTTGACCTCTGAGTCATACAGATTGACCCTGACCCCTTTCAGACCTCTAGTCTCCCAGATAGCGTTCATTAACTCACACTTTGGCCCATGGCCTTAGTCAGGAACTCACAATTGAATCTGTGATCTTTGACCACAGGGTTCCTGCTCTGGGGTCTCTGACCCTCATTCTGACCTTTGACCTTTTCCTAGATCAACATGCTAGTGCACTTCAAAGATGGTCAGGAAGAGGAAGATTGTCCTCTCCCTGAAGAGATTCGACAGGATTTGCTCAAATTTCATGAAGACCTACTGGCACATTGTGGTAAGGAGAGGGGATCAGAGAACCCTTCTCCCAAACTTCCTCTTGAGACCTCTCCTGAAGTTTCCCTAAGATTTCCTGATCCTAAACATCTATGGCATTGGTGCTATGTAATGGTTGGTTGATTGGTTGAATGAATGAATGAACAGATGTATTAGTGAACAGATAGATGAGTTGAAGGTATGTTTACATGGGTATTTGGGTGGATGTGTATATAGATGGGTGGTTATAGGCAGAGGGATGAGAGTAGAGAGATGGCCGGCTGGAGGGATGGATGGATGGATGACCTCCATTGTTCCTGATGAGAAGTCAGCTGACAGTCTTACTGAGATTTTCTTATAATGTGTTGTTTTTCTCTGGCTGGCTTTCCAATTTTTCTATTTACCTTTGCCTTTAAACAGTTTGAGTATGATGTGTCTAGGTGTGGAGCTCTTTGAATTTATCCTACTTGAAGTTTAATTTCGTGGATGTGCAGATTAATATTTTTCATCAAATTTGGGAACTTTTGGTCATATTTCTCCAAATATTTTTTCTGCCTCTTTCTCTTCTAGAACTCTCATTATGCACATATTGGTACACAATGGTGTCCTACAGGTCTCTGAGGCTCTGTTAGTTTTTCTTTATTATTTTTCTGTTTTTCAGATTAGATAATCTCTATTGTCTACCTTCAAGTTCACTGATTCTTTCTTCTACCAGCTCAAATATGTGGTCATACCTCTCTAGTGATTTTTAAAGTTGTTATTATACTTTTCAACTCCAGAATTTCTATGTGGTTATTTTTTATATTACCTACCTCATTATTAACATTCTCTATTTGATGACTCATTGTCATCATGCTTCTCTTTAATACTTCAGACATGGTTTCCTTTAGCTCTTTGAAGATATTTGCAGTAGCTGATTTAAAAGACAAATGAAAAAACATGTAGACATATAAAGAAACAAATAAAAAAACCCATGAATGCACACATGAATGAGTGAACAGATGAAGGAATGAAAAAGTGAATGATTAAGCATAGGAATAGCAAACAGATGAGTGACACTCCCTCCCTTCTTGACCACCTCCAGGAATTCAGCTGGAGGGGAAGGAGGAGGAACCAGAGGAAGAGGTCACCCTGAGCAGCCGCCTGAGGAGCCTGTTGGAGAAAGTGCGGCTGGTGAAGAAGGAGGAGGAGAAACCTGAGGAGGAGCTGCCCGCTGAGGAGAGCAAACCCAGTGAGGACCCGCCCACTAGGGGGGCTGAGGTGGGGCAGGCGCCCCTGTGCTTGGGGGGCCACTAGGCCCAAGACAGGCCATGAAGAGTAGTGCAAGGGAGGGTAAATGGTATTAGAGAGGAGGAGTGGAGGGCGAGGAGGAGTGGAGGGAGAGGAGAGAGGAGGCGTGCTGGACGTGTGGCCCAAATATGGGGCTGCACAGTGGGTGTGCTGGACCAGGGCGGCATATGGCCCTCCAGAGCAGATTTACATCATACATGGCAAGTCCTGCACCACCATGGCTTCCATGTCCTTGTGGCTTTTTGTTTTCCTTCTCTTTCTTGGTGAAATGATTACCATGCTGAGGGATTAGAAAAGCAGAGTCCCTGATGTTTTACAGGGTTTATTCCACAACATTGAGAAAACTATTACTGGGCCAACTCTGGGCTAGGCACTGTTGGCAGGGCTGGGGAATAGAGTAGGGGGAAGCATCAAAGTCCCCGCCCTCAAGGAGTTTAGGCTATTATGACAGATACAAATATACATATTGCATAATGTCAGGTGGCCAGGGGTGTTAAGAAGAAGAATAAAGTTGAGTGAGAGGGAAGAGGGACAAAGAAGGAGGAGTGGAATTGCAGGAGCGAGGTGTGCAAAGGTCTAGGGAAGGAACAGCCAGTGCAAAGGGCCTGAGGCAGAGACATGCTTGGTATGTTTAGAGGCCAATGTGGCTAGAGCGAAGTGTGCAGGTGGAGGGGGCAGGAGGTGAGGTCAGAAGTGATGGTCCAGAGTGGGGAAGGAAAGTAAAATGAACACATCACAGGTCATGGATTGACCCCATTGTTTCATGCCAGTGCCTGGAGGTTTCTTTTAACCCCGAGACACAGGAGATATGTCTTCTCTCCTAGAAATCCTGGAAAGAAAAAGGGTTGGGGGAGAAAGAGGGACAGAGAGCTAAATGGATGCTGACTGAAGGAAAGGCGAGGCCCAGGGAGATCACCAGGGAAAATAAAAAAGTTATCTGACATCATTTTCAAATAATAGTGAAGTGTTCGCAGTTTTTCTTTGTGTCTGTTGACTCTTGTGATGAAAAGTGGGCAGCACATGGAATCGAGGCTTGAGTGTTTAGAGGTGAAGGAAGAGCTTATAATAGTGCTCACGGGTTCTCTGGCGATTCAATTTTTTTCCTCTTGAAATGTGTAGGGGCCTTTTGGAAGGGGTATTAGGGTGAAGAGAACAGAGAGACTTTTAGGGCAATAGAAAAAAATCTGCCAGACTCCGTGCACTCCTGGCAGGTGGGGGAGGTGGTTAATAACTGGGAAGACACTGGAAAGTGGGGCCCCTTCTGCATGGTTTGGGTTTAAAGCCCTGGCCAGGCATAGTGTATTGAACCTTGTGTCCCCTTCCCAGAGTCACTGCAGGAGCTGGTGTCTCACACAGTGGTGCGCTGGGCCCAGGAGGACTTCGTGCAGAGCCCTGAGCTGGTCCGGGCCATGTTCAGCCTCTTGCACCGGCAGTACGACGGGCTTGGGGAGCTGCTGCGCGCCCTGCCCCGGGCGTACACCATCTCGCCGTCCTCTGTGGTGGACACCATGAACCTGCTTGAGTGCCTCGGCCAGATCCGCTCGCTGCTCATTGTGCAGATGGGTCCCCAGGAGGAGAACCTCATGATCCAGAGCATTGGGTGAGGCTCTGCCCCCTCCTTGACTGTGCAAGTCCCAGGGGAAGGGAGGGGGGACCTTCTGGGCTCCAGCTTGTCCCCTGTGTTACATCCTCTGGATAAGATAATGTCTCCTTCCTCCACCTCCTATCCTCTGGGTGATATATTTCCTCTGGTAGCTGGCTCATCTCCCTGGAGAATGTCCCTTCCCTTTACCTCTCCACGCCCCCCCCCCC